ACCTGACCAACTGACTGGAAGAGATCCATATTTGTACCCATGCCGAAGAAATGTGATCTGGCAGAATGTGGAAATTATCAAACAATATCATTAATATTACATGCAAGGAAAATCTTACTGAAGATAATTCAAAAATGGTTGCAGCAGTATATTGACAAAGCACTTCCAGAAATGCAAGCTGGATTCAGAAGAGGATGTGTGCTCTGGTTACCCAGTGCCGCTCTGACAAGGATATGCCACAAATGGGATGGTTTTAACAAACAGGAGTTTATTCTCTTACAATTTGGAGGCTTTAAGTCCAAGCTCAAAGTGCCAGGCTCTAGGGGCTGGGTGAAATGCCCTCAGCCTTGGGCTTTAGCTCTGCCTCCAGCTCCTGGCCCACTGAAGCTAGAGGCTTTTCTTCACCCAGACAGCTGCTGGCTGCTGAGGCTGCCAAGACCAAGCTTGACTAGTAAAAAGGCACAATCCCGATATTACCAAATGAAAAGGCAGGCCATTACTTCGAGTCCATTTTAAGTCCCAAGGTCAGCAGAGCATGGCAGACTACTGAACAACAACACGGCTACATGTAGGGTTCAAGTGTGCCATAATCTAGAGACCATTGCCCAAGGCTTTTCCTTATATACAGGAAGCAGACCACATCCCTAAGGCAGCTCTACTCAGCTGCTCACAGTAGATTCCACCATGGAGTTGACTGCCAGTCTCATCATGGGGAATAACACATCCAGCTGCCCAGCCACTCAACCAGGCCCAGCCAAGTTGACACACAAACTTAACTACCACAGGAGCTCTGGTGGTGTAATGGTTTAAATAATTCAGTTGGTAACCAAAAGGTTAGCAGTTCAAACCCACCAGCTGCTCCATGGTTAAAAGCTGGGGCAGTCTGTTTCCACAGGGTTGTTGAGGTGGTTGTTAGGGGATGTCAAGTCGGTTTTGACTCACGGCTGACCCTGTGTGCAACAGAATGAAACACTGCCCAACCCTGCCCCATCCTCACAATCTTTGCTATATCTGAGTCCATCATTGCAGCTATGTGTTGATCCATTCTGTTGAGGGTCTTGCCCTTTTCGTTGATCCTTTAGTTTACCAAACATGATGTCCTTCTCTAGGGAATGGTCTCTTCTGACAACATGATCAAAATAGGTGAGACAAAGTCTGACCATTCTCATTTCCAAGGAGCCTTCTGGCTGCACTTCTTCCAGGACAGATTTGTTCTTTCTTCTGGCAGTCTGTGGTGGTTAAGTTTGTGTGTCAGCTTGGCTGGGCCTGGTTGAGTGGCTGGGCAGCTGGATG